AAGGCAGCTGCTTAACCGACTGAGCCACCCAGGTGCCCCTAAAATTAAAATTTATTTTAAATTATGAAAGAATTACAGACTCACAGGAAGTTGCAAAAATAATATAAAGAAGTCCCTGTACGGGGCACCTGGGTGGCTCAGTCATTAAGCGTCTGCCTTCGGCTCAGGTCATGATCCTGGGGTCCTGGGATCAAGCCCCGCATTGGGCTCCCTGTTCTCAGGGAAGCCTGCTTCTCTCTCTTCCGATACCCCGGCTTGTGTTCCCTCTCTGTCAAAAAATAAATAAAATCTTAAAAAAAAAGAAAAAGAAGTCCCTGTATCCTTCATATAATTTCCCCCATGGTAACATCTTACATAACCATAGTACAACATTACCTTTTTTTGGTAACTTGGTAAGTATTTGTCTGTCTATGTAAATATCCTATTCTTTACCAAGCATTCAATTAATCAACTGATTAATGTGCCCAGAGTTTCCTATGTTATTTGATGGGTTAAATTCAGTCTCATCATTATTTATTTTTATGCTAAAATAGTCCCAGTTTGGCTAGTAGAAGCTCTTCAAACTGACTTCTGTGTCCTTTTGACATGTCTTCATTATTCTTTGGTCATTCTTTTCTGGCAAAAGATGTTGTAGGCTCATCTTGTACTGCTCCTGCCCCGGGCCTGAGTCCTAGTATCATTTAGTGGGACAGTGGTATTTAGAAGCCAAGATCTAGGGGCGCCTGGGTGGCTCAGTTGTTAAGCGTCTGCCTTCAGCTCAGGTCATGATCACAGGGTCCTGGGATCGAGCCCCGCATCGGGTTCCCTGCTCAGCGGGAAACCTGCCTCTCCCTCTCCCACTCCCCCTGCTTGTGTTCCCTCTCTCTCTGTGTCAAATAAATAAATAAAAAAAAAAAAAATCTGAAAAAATAGAAGCCAAGATCTGAGTGCTAAGCATACTCATTACTATTAGGGCGTCCCTCTTGCAAGGCCCACTCAGGGTCACAGTTGGGAATATACACCCACATACTTCCACACAGAATGTACACACTAACACATACACACATTTACATCTATATTTACTTGTACATTTATCTATCTATCTGTCTTGCTATCTTCACTTGATCTTAGCCAAAAGGCTGAGAAGTAATTAACTATCTTGAAAACCATGAATTCACACCAATACTTCTAATTCCAATCCATCACCATAAGGCTCATTCAGGTTTTCTCCCTTTCCATATTTGTATCTTCTCTAACAGTGAATTATCTTTTTTTTTTTTTAAGATTTTATTAATTTATTTGAGAGAGAGACAGAGAGAGCACAAGCAGGGGGAGGAGCAGAGGGAGAGGGAGAAGCAGACTCACCACTGAGCAGGGAGCCTGACACGGGGTTCAATCCCAGGACCCTGAGTTCATGACCTGAGCCAAAGTCAGCCGCCTAACTGACTGAGTCACCCAGGCACCCCAACAGTGAATTATCTTTAATGTATTTACTTATTTGATCAATCCTTCTAGATGTAGCCATACATATAGGAGTCTCTGCCACCATTCCTTTCCCAGCGCAGATGCCCTCCTAACCCTGTACATGTTCTGAGAATGTGTGCTGGGCCATACTCTCCACCGCCCTCCAAAGAGGATGCCTTCTTCATTCTTGGGTTCCAACACTCCATGTGGGGATATAGTTTTGGAGAGACAAAAATCCTTGCTTTC